TTCAGGACAGCAAAACTCACGCAAGACAGAGGCGTATCGGACTGCCACCGAAGTCTTGAGAATGCCATAGAACTTGGGAGGTCGCCTGGCGAACTGAATCGCGTAGCCAAGTCGAACCGTCCGAATGAGCCAGCAGGACGCGTTGGGCAACGCAAGCCACGCTCCCAAACTTCGTACGAGTGGCACCAAAGGGACAGCTTCTCCGAACCGCGACCTCTTGGCCACTGGCGATAGGGGGCGTCGTGGGTGAGAGTGAGGAAGCGGTGCGTCGCTCACTGTCGACACACAAGCCTCGCAACTCGGAGGAAAAGGTAATTGCTCTTTCTTTGAGAATGTGGTCACCGCAAAAACAAAAAAGAAAAGGGAACGAAGGATTCTCCACCTGGCCCTCCTCCAGGGGAAGGAGCGGCGCTGACCTCGCCACCTCCTGAAGAGCAGTCTCCCACAGCTCCAGGTTGCCCGTGTCAGAGCCGCTTTGTCGTCTTCTTGGAGGACTTAGCGGCTGGGCACTTAACGGGGGGAACTGCTCTCCTGCGTGGGGCTCGACGCCCCGGCCTCGACTTTGTCTCAGCACAGGGCGGAGATGGAGTGGCTCTTTCTTTGACAATGTGGTTACCGCTGGCCATCGAGCCAACGGCGGAACAGAAGGAAAAAGATTCCCCGCCCGGCCCTCCTCCGGGGGAAGGAGCGGTGCTGCGAATCGTCCGTGATTTGCTCTTTTAGGAAATCTGCTCTTTTAGTTGAAGCGCCCAGGGGAATCGCTGAAAGAGACACCGCTGTTTGTGCTGTACCGCCAACCAGAACAGCTTCCCGACACACAGCAGATGAATGGCTTTGTGGAGTATAACAGCTTTTCATACAACCACTCGGCTCCGAAGCAAAAATCTGAAGAGTGGATGCACCTGTCGCCTATTTATACCCATATGCATGGGGAGTGGCTCAGGTATGCAAAATCCACTAGCCAATTTTCATTGGCGTTTTCTCTTAAACTCAGAGATGATTGGCCTCCCAAGTGAGACCCCATATGTTGTTCGACATAACTCGTAGTGACCGACAGATAGGGAACACTTAATTCAAAGTGTTTAACATAATCTAAATTCATCTCGTGGTTTGATATGAAATGTGACTGTAAATTCATTTGCAGCATTTTAAAGAATTATAGATTTTCCCAACATGAAGGATGTTCCAAAAGGTAAGCTTCCATAATTATGCTATATTTTAAGATACCTTTATTTGAATTAAATTTAAATACATTTGTCTGTATCACATACAGATATAATTTTTTTTTTTGGTGGCAAATTCTTCTGATTGTCACCAAGACTTAACCCAGAATTTATTTAGCTGGCTAACATTTAGATTTGGTAATTTTTGTAAAAATGACTTATGAGAGTCTAGAAAGCATTAGCAAGAATGTGTTGTAAAAACTACAAATCAATCTGCGATGTTTTGCACCCAATGCCTTTGTGTCCAGCAAAAACATTTATGAAGTCACATAATATCTGTATAATTTCCAGATTGTTGCATTGTTTTCTTTTTGTAAAGAATAATTAATAAATAAAATCTATGAAAGTATAAATAAAGTAAATAAAATTTACAAAAAAAAATAATGACAAAAAAAATGAAGGAAAACCTTTTTATAAGGAAAACGTTTTTATTTCAGAAACATTTCTAGCAAATACAAAATGCATTTCCAAAAAAATATCTATCTATCTATCTATCTATCTCTCTATATATATATATTAGGGCTGTTAATAGATTACAATTTTTAATCTAATTAATCACACCGGTTTTCTGTGATTAATCACGATTAATCGCACACTTCATGAAATTAAGCATAGACCATATCTTGTTTCAAATGTTTATTTTGTCATCATTTGATATATCCAGCAAAGTAAACCAAAAGACTGAAGGGTGATTCTCTGTATTTTCTGCAAGCTTTTTTCAAGATAAATGTAGATGTCTTTCCAAGGACTCCAAAATAACTCCAAAACTCCAAAAGGAAACTCCAGAAGGAAAAGAACCAAATGATATAAGGAGCCCATATAAGCACATATGAAAGAAAAAAATGCTAAAAAAACAAAATCAAATTCAGAATTGTATGGTATGTGTACAGTGCAACAGCAAAGAGCTTTTTTACATTTTAGAGAAGTCAAGTTGCGATACCGAACAGGACCACATGGAGATGCCAAAACACCCAAAACCAACTGCCTGCTGACTGCATATATCTACTACAGTACACGGATCTATTCAGAATAACTAAACAGCAACATACACATGACGAATCAAAACATTATCGTGAATGTGTGTGGAAACAGCGTGAATATATGGAAATGTCTGTGCCCGTGCATAAATACAAGGTGCGATCAGTGCGTCAAGAGCACTCATACACGCATTAATATAACGGACTCACGCATGCTTACTGTACGACTCATGTACGCTACCGCAATCGTCTTTACCTTGATTGCGGTCTTCATCCATCAAAACTTTACTAGCGAGACTGGTTATCCAATTGAGAAAACGTAGTTTGCGTCTCATTTGGCCATACAGCGGTGGGATGTGTTGACAATCCGTTCAGTAATGTACGTGTGAGGGCTCGTGCTCGTCAAGAGACAATCACAGAATATGACAGAGATCGTGTTTAAAAGCGAAACACACTGGAATGAATAATTCACTGAAAACTGAGTCTCTGTTCTCTCTGCAATCTCTGATGTAATCAGCCTGATTTGCTTTATATTAGAGCTGTTTTGGGCGGATTGTTTGAATGCATTTGCTTACTGGATCATTGATTAAGGATCGTAAAATGAATCGCATGCGTTAACGCGTTAACATTGAAGGCCCTAATATACAGGTGCATCTCAATAAATTAGAATGTCATGGAAAAGTTCATTTATTTCAGTAATTCAACTCAA